TACATCTTTACTGTCCTTCCAAGAAACTAACGTAGACTTTTTTCGATGATACGTACATAATGTATGTTTAATAAAATATTTTCTGCTCTTTTACTAAATAAACGTACACATAACTGTACAATAATCATTGGAAACCATTCGAAATATATGTACATTTGAAAAGTTTTAGGAAATTATAAATAACATTATGACTTAAATATAATTTTTATATGCCATATGATGTTGAAGTCCGGCGGCAAAGTGTACGTTAGCATGAATCTAAAGTACGTTTGTGCGAACAATTACATGTTTGTACCCAAATTTGTTATAGGGAAATTCACCTGTAATTAAAATGTCAGAGAAAATTCTTGTTGTTTTTCACTAATTCCTCAAGTTAACTAAAACTTGAAACTGATTTTAGGAAGTAAATAATAACTTCATTTAAATAAAATTTAATATGCTTATAATTTTGTAATACCACGGTAAAATGTAACTTTGATTCTACTAAGTATTTGATTAATGTACAATTCCTTGGCGAACAAAACTTTGGGTATACATTGTGTACATTAAACAACTTTAGTCTGTACTTTCATTGAAATTATGTATTGACTTTGAAACAGACAAGAAAGTCATGAATGAAATTAAAATATATAATGCTGTAGTCCGACGGTAAAATGTACGTTCATATAAACATAAAGTACGTTTTTGTGAATGAAGAAACACGAGTGTAACAATTGTAAATATAAGCTTTTATCATTCGATTAACGTGCATTCTCTTAGCGAACACAACTTTAGATATGCATTATATACGTTGACCTAATGCAGTTTGCTTTTTTTATTCATATTATGTAATTGACTTCTTCTCAATACAGATTCAGATGTTATCTTTTAAAACTTATTATATAAAATTGAAATAAATATTTCCAAATAATGTTGTATAGTCCGACGGTAAAATGTACGTTCATTTGAACAAAAAGTAAATTTGTGCGAATTGAAAAATATCTGTGTACTAGTTTTAATTATATTATTTTATATGTGAATTCACCATTCGGTTATCGTACGCAAATTTTAATTATGTACGTTAACCAATTGCAGTTTGCATTTTGAGTTTTATTCAAATTCTGTATTGGATTTCTCTTTAAAACAGATTTTCTATTGTTAAAACTCGTTTTAGAAAACAATAAATTCATGACTGAAATATGTATTTGCATAGTCCAGTAAAATGTACGTTTGTATGAACAAGAAGTAGATTTGTAATAATGTTTAAACTCGTGTGTAGTAATTTTCAATATATGCTTTTGTATGGGAATTCAACATTCGGTTATCGTACATTCCTTTAACGTACACTAATTTTGATATGCATTATGTACGTTAAACGATTGCAGTATGTATTATTCATTCCTATGACTTTTATTCAAGAAATTATACAATTTTAATACTCTTTTTTGAAAAATTGTACGTTCGTGCGAATGTGTATGAATACTTGCTTTTATACGAGAATTAACTACTTGATTAACAGAAATTTGTGTATACTTTATGTACGTTAACCGAACATTGATTGTATTTACTAATTATTCTTCACGATGAATTCTATCTTCTAACTTATCATTACATCATGATAGGAAAATTGTACGTTCTTGCGAATGTGTATGAATACTTGCTTTTATACGAGAATTAACTATTTCATTAACATAAATGTGTATATACTTTATGTACGTTAACCGAACATTGATTGTATTTGCTAATTATTTTTCACGATGAATTCTATCTTATCATTACATCATGATAGGAAAATTGTACGTTCGTACGAATGTGTATGAATACTTGCTTTTATACGAGAATTAACTACTTGATTAACATAAATTTGTATATACTTTATGTACATTAACCGAACATTGATTGTATTTGCTAATTATTATTATTCTAAAAAAATCTGCAACACAAATCGCTTTACCTCTATACCAAAATCAAAAATACTGAAGTGACTTCGATCAAATTTATTTTAATTTATGTAAAAAAATAAAATAAAACACATGTTATTTTTTCTTTCGAAAAGCTCACGATTGGAATGTAAATATTGCATCTAATTGGTGATTCTGGATGGAGAAGAGATGCGATTCAATCAATTTATTACTTTAATAGAAATTTAATGAATTCACGCTTCGGCAATTAAAGTGAAAATTCCATATATATCCCGATGATCTTCCGAAAGAAATGGTCGCATGACCCTTCTTAACACCATTTAGTGAGACCGAGAAACCGTTAGAATATTAGTTTTATTTTTTCTCTGTCTCTTTGCAACCGTTGCCTGCACATAATCGAATCAATCACGAAGCGATCCTCGTGTAACACGATACAACGCATAAACATAAACGGATTATATAAAACAAACGCATAGATTTAAATCATATTCATCAGTTACATAACACATAAAGCAAACAATTAAACGCAATTACTTCTGTTCTGTTCTCTTCTTCGTTTTGTTTTGTATCGAACATTTAATGCCACCAAAATCCAAATCAAATATCATATTGCAAGTTATGATTGGAATTAGAGAAGCATTCGATATTCGCTATAAATAAATAACTTAAATCTAGATATTGCACACGTTTTACACTAAATATAACACAAAAATATTGCACATAACTTTTACACTAATAAATTATATAAAAAAAAAATATGTATACATATATATTGCACATTAATTACATTTCTCGATTGAGAGAATCACAAATATTTTCTATAATAGCGAGTTATTTATTATTTCTTTTTTCTCAATATATTCTTCAATCATAAGAAACAACAGCTTTCACAAAAAAAATCAACATTAATTCAATCAAACGAATCGCATGTAATAAAAAAAAACTTAGTTTTATATAAAGAACCAACAATAAAAACATTCATTATTTTTTTATTAATTAAATAAAAATATTTATTGCTTTTTATTATAAATAATTATTTCAATGATTTTTCTATAGAAATAAACGTATTTAATGCTACAAATTTTCTTAGAAAAAAAATCAACAAACGCACATTTCCACAAAATAAACTGTTTTCCGGTAATTTCACTTATTTTATTTATTTATTTATTTTTTTTTTCTCACTTGAATGTAATTTCCAAACGCATTTTCTTTTTGCAAATGCACAGTTAAAAACACAACACCATAATTGGTTTTCGCGCAAGGAGAAAAAAAATTACAAAACAGAACTTAATTGATTTCAACCAGGAAACACCGGCTTCCGACAACAACAACAACAATATCCACCAATTAGGGAAAGCGATTCCGCATCTTAAAAATGAACGAGAAGAGAGAAAAAACTGCATCTTGTTAATTTCATACTCTTAATTTGATTTGTTTTTTTTTTATCATCTCCGCTCATTACAATTACGATTTAACTGCCGATTTATAATGAAACGTTTCGCTTATTTCCATAACAACATTAGTGACAACAATAACAGCAAACGTTTTCAGGTGAAATTTGCGTGTAAAGCGTGAACGGAAATTAGAAATTTCGCGTTTAAATTAAACACACAAACTTTGACTGCAATTATCGTTTGCTTGGCTGTGTGTATGTACGTGTTTTTTTCTTTTACCTCCACTTTACGAAACTGCGCTTGAATAATGAGATTTTCTACTGAACGTTCGTTGCAAATATGACAAAGTGCGTTTTATTTTTATCGTTTAGTGATTATAATGATTTGCTATTCAATTAGTCACAAACTACACATACTCTTTTCAGTAGTTACGAACTTGTGTATGTACGTTCATAAATTTTTAATGTTATAAGTTTTATTTTATTGTATTTTTATTGTCTTCAATTCTCGAAATAATTCAATAAATTAGTATAATTTAATTGCTTTGAAACTTATATTAGTTTTCGTATTTAATTTATTTGAAATCATATGTCTTAATAAAAAGCCTTAGTCATTATTCATAAAAAGTTGTATTTTTTAAATTGTCTTGTACATAAAAGTTAAAGAAAGAGCAAAATCTTTAATTTAACAAAAAAAAATTATAAAATTATACGAAACTTTACAATTTTATACAAATTATTAGAATTATCTTAAAATATGAATTTTCGTGCATTTTTAAGACAAAATAAATATGTTTTTTTTTAATAAAATTTTCATTATACTTATTATAATTAGAATCATATTTTTTAAATTGTAAATTGAATTCGCACAAAAATAAATAAATTTATTATGTTAATCATTAAATAAGTTCAAAAACATTAAATTGATAAACAAAAACAACGTGAGATTAACGTCAAATATCAACTTTACCATAAGATGACGACAAAATATAATTATGTGATGTCAATCTATTTTTTTGCATAATTTCTATTTGAGCATACGTATTTTGATCGGATCTAGCAGTTAAACATAATAAAGTAAATTTCAATAAAGTAACAATGTGCGTGTATTGTTTCTACAGTTTTTTCGTCTTTTGCTGGAGTTAGCAATAAAAATATTAAAATATAATTTTAACTCTAAGATAAAATTATTATATTTCTATAATATTATTGGTACGTTTGATGATTAACTTTTAAAAAATATTAAAATATGCTTTTATGAAATAATGTATTTCTATTTTTTTTTTCATTTTTGATAATAAGCAACCAACTTTTGTCTGTTCCAATGGATAAGTCTAAGAGTTAATACAAACGACGTGGAAATACGTGTGTTATTCTTTCTTCTTATTAGGAAATTCATATATTTTAATTAAAATATAGTTTTTCTCTCCTCGTTAATTCTTATGTTAATTGGTTTATTTTTTGATAATATCTCTAATAAATTTGGCGACGGATATTGATTATAATTGATTGAAGAAATAAAAAAAGCGTAATTTTGTAAACTATGTAGAAATGTGTGTTAGAAATTAATTATTTGTTTTAATTAAAAATATTATTGGTTCTTTCGTACGTTAATTTTTTGTTTCTCGTTATTGTGACTGTGCTTTTTTTGGTGAAAGCTGTTATTTTATTAATTGAGAATATTATAAATTATGTAGGTACTTATCCTAATCCCTTTGGAGTAGTTCGTGGAGGGCGGAGATGTACGTCTGGGCCATCTGAAGCGTCTCGAACTTTGACAGTTTCCTGTCGTTGCCCAAGGAAGGCACGACGTCCCGAAGGCGATCGAAGGCATCATTCAGGCTGTTCATCCTTCGTCTCTCTCTCGCGTTCGCCGCCAAACGCCTCTTCTTCATAACATCAACCTGCGGCTGCTGACTCATCATCTTCTTGGAGGAGTCCTTCTTGTAACTGTCGCAGGACTTGTAATAGTCCTGCCTGTGATAGTTATCGGAGCTGCTCTCCGCCTTGTGCTTATTGTAATCGTAAAGATTGTTGTTCTCTCCGTAGTACTGCTGCTGGCAACCCCAATCATCCTTGCTGCTGCCGTAGCAATTCGGTATGTAGGGTTGAGAAGACATTCCGGATTCAGAGTTGTTGCCGGGACTTGAGAGCATGCAATAATTGTAGGAACTTCCTGGACTCGAGATGCGTGGAGATACGTAACCGTCGGATGATCCCCCGTTTGACATTTGGATGCGATCGCCGTATTTGAGGAACATAATCAGTCTTTATATGCAGCATATAGATTTATTCGTATCGTATCGCACTCTTCTCAAGCAGTGTTCTTTGAAAATCACTCAACAAAAAAAATCAATCACTTGAATGAAGAGCAGTAACTTTGATCGTCCATAAATTGTAGAAGGCAGGAGAAGAAGCAGCTCCGCTATTATTATTTCCGAAAAATCTCTTACATATCTCTTTTGCTGGTGATAACTTGATCTAACGATGGTGAACAAAAATAAACTTTTCTATTTCATCGCACCTTTACAGTTAACGTCAGCATCGTTTCCATATGCAAATTATATTATTTAATTTGTTGTGTTTTTTTTTTACAATCTCCGGAATTTGGGGCACGCACTTCGTGTTCCTTATTTGTAGGCTCGTAGCCTGAAATTTTGGGCCACTCCACTAAACCGAAACCGCAGCAACAAATATAGTCTTCATCGCGATTCAATGATGACCGCGTGTGTGTATTATTACAGTGAATAACAAACAATGTGACTGTGTGTGTGTGAGAGAGAGACGAAGAATGTTTGGTTGGATGGATGGAGTTCGTATGTGGTACGTGCTGCGTGAATGTGTCTGAACGGAGTGGTTATCTCTTCGGCGAGATGCTGAGGCCTACTGAAGATGACCAGCGTGTGCTGAATGTTAAATCAAAGAAGTGGCAGAGCGATCTTGGCCACTGCCACTGTCAGTACGCGCGCGATTTCTTCGGATCTCCTTCGGCGATCTCCTTCCTCGACCACCGTCACGATTTTTACGTATAATTGAGACTGATGGATTAAATGCAATTCCGTTTTCTATACTCAAACCATCATCATTTTCGCGTTCTGCATTATTTTCTTTTATTGTACATTATTATTATGCACATTTACCACCTTTTTCACCGCTACTTAGAACATCTCGTCAACTTCCATGCAATATTTATATAATTTCTTTTTATCCACAAATATTTTATTCATATATTATTTAGTTACTTAATACTCTCTATACTTTTTCTTGAATACTATTGATTAATTCATCTCGATTCAGAAAGTGTTTCTTACAATAATACATTTCTATTTCATACTTTTTTTTTAAATAATTTATTATTGTATATTACGAATCTTGCATTAAATTTCATATATTATTATAATTGTGCATAATATGTTTATTGTTTATTATAACATAAATTTAGATTTTATAAAATATTACTTCAATATAAAACATTTTTTTTTCGTAGTAAATATTTATGTTGAATTATGATTTACGAATTTCTCAAATATTTACTACAATATAAAATGATGTAATTAAAAAAAAGACAATAAATTTTAATAAATTGATATGTAAATTTAAATTATCATTTACAAATTCATCAAATTTAAACTAAGACATAAATTGATGAAATTACTATAATAAAGTCCTCTTTGGCCAGAAATGTTCAATAAATTTTGTAAATTTTAATAAAATAAGTAAAGGAAATTCATTAATTTTATCATCCAATAATCATTTTTATATACAAATATTTTATTTTTGATCATTATTGTCATTGTATAATTCAATATGTTTATTATAAAATTATTTTGTTAAGAAATATGTTATATTGAAAGTTTATAATTAAAATTAATGTATTTAAAAAAAAAATCTCAATCAAGTTTGGATTTTATAAAACAAACTTATTTCCAATATATACATTGATTTACAGTAAATACCTCAGACAGTGCGGCTTTGATCAGAGATGATTCATTATAGTACGGTTAGAAAATTTCAAAACAAACTCAAATCCATTGAGCAAAATAAAAATAAATGTTTTTTTTATATAATCAACCAATATCTCGGACTGTTTGATACCGGACTAATCGAGGACTTTAAAACTGCATAGATATAAATTACACAAAAAGATATAATACGGGTAACCGATTCAGCCAATATCTCGGACTGTTTGAAACCGGACTGATTGAGGACTTTAAAACCGCATAGAAATAAATTACACAAAAATATATAATATGGATAACCGATTCAACCAATATTGCGGACTGTTTGAAACAGTACTAATCGAAGACTTTAAAACCGCATAGAAATAAATTGCACCAAAAGTTATAGTACGAATATCCGGTTCAACCAATATCTCGGACTGTTTGAAACCGGACTGATCGAGGACTTTAAAACCGCATAGAAATAAATTACACAAAAAGTATTATATACGGGTAACCGATTCAGCAAATATTATGGACTATTTGAAACCGGACAAATCGAGAACTTTCAAATTGCATAAGAATAAAATGGACAAAAAAGGTGAAAAACAAAAACCGAAAATGATTGTATAAAAATAAAGTTCTGTACTATTTTTTTTTAATTTAGAAAATTTCTTTTCGCAAAATGCATAAACAATATAACAATAAATACATTGATTTACAGTAAATACTTCAAACAGTGTGTCTTTGATCAGAGATGATTCATTATAGTACGGTTAGAAAATGTCAAAACAAATTTAAATCCATTGAGCAAAATAAAAATAAATATTCTTTATATAATCAAAGTCTCTTTTCGTGTATGCGGTTTTAATGTCTTTAGTTTTGTTTCAAACAGTCCGGGATATTGAGGGAACCGTACTATACGAGGTTTTAAATTCTAAGTTTAAACGTTATATTTTAAACATGTACTACACCTTTATTTCCACTACTTAAAAGGTATCGTTAACTGTGAAACTGTTCCTACTTCGATGCAATATTTATAATTATATTTTATTAAATATTTAATTTGTATTTGAGGAGAGTCCTCAGTTGGTAATAAATATTCAATTTCGGTTTCTTACACAATCATATGAACTGAGCCGTTGCACGTGCCTCGCAGTTTTTTTTTACAGTTATCGACTAAATGAATCGTTTAGTTCCCATTTGGAATTAAACGTTAACGTTATAAATTCGTACTTGTCAATTACTTTTTTCTAAGTATTACACATATCATATTCAATTCCAACTGCTTCAAATTCAATACTAACAAGTAACGCAATTAAATTGTTTCGATTTACAGTCATTAGTGCATCCAATATAACTCTTACAAATTCTACTTATAATTATCATTTCAGACATTCTTTATATTTATATAAAATAAAATGTTTTTCCTTTCCAGTTTTCGAATTCCCGCTTTACGTTTTATATACAAAATGTTCGTACAATTCGTTTGAATGTCTAATTTATACATTTAATATATAGAAGATTAAAAACTACTGAAATCTTAAGAATCATTTTTATTATCACTGCTTCGGTCAGTGCGGATTTACATAGTTAAAAATAAATATAAATTATGAAAAAGTGGTACACTATTTATTATTTATACAAAAACCAACTGGGTTTTTCTTCATTAGTCAAGTGTCTTTTTAATTTAATTGTATGCGGTTTTAAAGTCCTTGATTAGTACGGCTTCAAATAGTGCGGAATGTTGATGGATTACACGTACTATTCGAGTGCAGACTATATTTCTTAAATTAATAACATAAATTTAACGCAAAATTAGATTTTTTTTTCAAAATTTTTCCAATAAAAAATATAATAATAAATCTCATTGAAGTAATAGAAGTAAGATTAATAATAATATATATTTATTAAATTAAACATTTTTTATTTTAATTACTATTTTAATTTTCAAAATACATTTGTTTTTAAATCACATTACTTCTATGGCAACTACAAAAAAAAATACAAATTTGTTCAAATCTGAAATTAATATTAATTAATAAACAAAAGATTGACAATATATTTATTATGTTTAATGTATAAAAAATATTGAGGTTAAACTAGAAATAACTAATGAACTTAATGAGTAATTTGTTAGGAGAAAAATTAGCATTCGCATTCGATTAAGGAAGTTGTATAATTAACGCGAATTGACTTGTTACGTTTATAAATTATTACCTCTTTTTTTATGAATTTTGAAACCGAAGAAATCGTGATCCACGATGTGATTAACACCTATCCATCATCAACTATAAACAGTATGAAAACAACAATTATGGACGACGATCGACCTAAAACATTCTGCGATTAAAGCTTATTTCCAGAACGTGGGATACAAAATTGCAATTGATTTAGTGTCTTTATTTTGCTGAAAATCCTTTTGAATATATTTTTTGAGAAGTACTTTTATGTAAATCGTTTAAAGTCAAATACAGAAATACATCACTTAGTGCGGTTTTGCCAATATCCCGTACTGACTTTAATAGAAATAAAATGCATAAAAAGATATAGAAATTTCACCAAAAAGTATAGTTTGGGTAAACGATTCAGCCTATATCTCGGACTGTTTGAAACCGGACTAATCGAGGACTTTAAAACCGCATAGAAATAAATTACACAAAAAGATATAATTCGGTTACCCATTCAGCCAATATTACGGACTGTTTGAAACAGGACTAATCGAGGACTTTAAAACCGCATAGAAATAAATTGCATCAAAAGATATAGTACGGGTATCAGGTTCAACCAATATCTCGGACTGTTTGAAACCGGACTATTCGAGGACTTTAAAACTGCATAGATATAAATTACACAAAAAATGTGTATATAGGTTGTGTACTATTTTTTTTTAATTTAGTAAATTTCTTTTTGCAAAATGCAATAACAATATACCTCGTTTTTCTTTCTCATTTTTTTTTTCTTGTCGTTGTTCTGATAAAACCCGTCCATCTTAAGGACGGACCGGCTTCATTAGGAACGAACATTGGAATTCAGGTTACGAAAACAAAGAAAAAAAAACTGCAAACCAGAAATTATGCGACGCATTGTTTGTTCCAGTGCAATTCAATATTTGCGTACACAATTGAAACGTTTTCCCTTTTGAGCCGTGCACAAAACCTATTCGAATATTATCAAAGATTCTTAATCTCGTGTATTCGAGTTTAAGAATCTTAATATCAATATGCTACCGTTTAATGTGGACAGGCTGTTGACCCACGGATCTTTAAGAATGTTTTTTTTTTCTTTCGTTTGTATTTCGAGAATCTCGGAATAACGGTCAA